CACTCTCTTAGGCCCCTGTCTGCAGTCCTTTAACTTTGCCATGGAGAAGTGTGTGAAAACCAACACAGACAGAGTTCACAGGGTAACTGAGGACGGATGAACTAAGGCAACACTGTTTCCCCCTAAAATCCAAACAAAAACCTAGTGCTGTTGTTTTGCCAAAAGATCATGTTGTCACATTGCCTTCTGGACAATTTATGTTCATTCCCATAGTTTGGTGCTGTCTCAACCTTGGTCAGAGGCATTTTTGGTTTTGTTTTGCAGTGGGCAGCTGTTGATGCAGACACTCAAAACTGGCTACAGTGCTGAGAATAAGTGACCACTGAATGCCCAGCTCTAAGCGGGACATCTATATTGGGACATCTATAGTGATACCCTCAGGACAGTTGAGGCAGGAAGAATGTAAGAGCTGGAGGATGGGCAGGAGTTCTGTGAAATGCTGCCTTCAAGACACAACATGGCTGTTACAGGCATGGACTTACAGCAGCCCAGGTCACCTGCATAAGACCTGTACAAGACGAGGGCAGTCGGTAATTCTATGGGTGAGGGAGGGGCTGATGAGGTCTCACCTCAACTCAAGGAGCTATTGCCACCTGGTTGATGGCTGATGGGAGTTGGGGAGTAAGTTTTCTTCAGGGGTATGGCTCCAGGTAGGTTGCCGGCACCTCAATTTTCATGAAATCCCAAATGCAGTCTAATGACTCACCGCCTTCATAATTCCTCAAAACTGATTACTTCCTAAGGCTTCCTGCCTCTATTTCATCTCTCTTAATTCATGTGTATTCTCAGGGTCTAAGGCCAAGAAGAGGCAACACTCATTCAGCTCATGTGAGACATCTTCAGGCACAAGATGGGTAAGGGCAACCTCCAAGAGAGTGTGGAATTTTTGGTAGGGGCAAAAGCAGGCGGCATTTTCTCCATTTCTAGGAGAGTGCAGGAAACATATTAGCCAATGGTCGGATTACTTTTAATACCTCAACTCCACTCTACCCTTTCTATATATTATTCTCTTAACAAGTTGTTATCATCATCCCAAGTGTTTGCATGTGAGTACATGCGCATGTGTGAGTGTGTGTATGCAGTGTGAGTGCATGTGAGTGTTTGTGGTTTTGTGTGTGTGGGGGTTGGCACATGTGTGAAGGTAAGACTTTCAGGAATTGGTTCTCATTTCACTGTAGGCTCTGGAGACTGAATTCAGGTCATCAGGCTTGGTCCTAAGCACTCTTATATTCTGAGCCTTCCTGCTGGCCCAGTGTAGATTGTTCTGCTTAGAATATTTTTTTAATTAGCATACACAGCATTAGGTTCTGTTGTGGCATTTTCAAACAAAATGTGTTTCTGTTGGTTCTCCCCCCATCTTCTTCCCTATTCCTCTAACTGCTACCCCCTGTACCCTTCCTTCTTCCTGCTCTCATAGGCTCCATTCTATTTAAGATCTCATTTGTGCTATTGCCCCCTCCACTGTCCTCAACACCTCCTCCCTAGCCCTTCTGATGACCTTTTTTCTAGCATCATAACCTACCCTACATGCATGCCCTGTTACATGCATGTTTATGAACATTGTAAGCTGGAATCTGCATATGAGAGAGAACATGGGATTTCTATCTTTCTGTGTATACTGTTCTTGATGCAGCAGAAAACTTTTACAGATAGGAACAGGCACAGATACCATTTGGACAACTTCTAAGTAGATCCCAGTTTCCTATATTTCTATCCCAAATGGATGCTCCTCAAGTTACATATACTAGCGAGCCTTCTTGCACACACACACACACACTTATGTGTGCATATTTATCATATAATAATATTAATAAAAAAGTTAAAACAACTTGGGCTAGCCAGATGGATCAGTGAGTTAAGGGTGATTGCTGCAAGGCCTGATGACCTGAGTTCAATCCCCAGGACCCACATGGTAAAAGGAGAGAATTTACTCCTACAAGTTGTTCTCTGACCTCCACATGTATGCTGTTGCCCATGCCCCCCCCACACACATGAACACACATACTAAAGAAGTAAATGAAAAATTTAAAAGTTTAAAATAACTTCAGAAAAATGGGTTTGCATGAGGTTTATCTATGTTCCCTTGCCTTCCCTCTCAAAGGCAAATGGAAAACTCAAGGAAGGAAACTTTTGAAGGCTCCATCATAAATAAATCGACAAGTCTATAAGGCCCCCTCCCTTCCAGGACATTTAGGGGTCTACATCATAACTGAATAGAACTCAAGTTTGAGTTATTCTTTTGATACAAGTAGTGACAGTCAGACAGGGTACGTGATAGGAAAATAACCCAGAGCTGGCCACAGAGGAAGGAGAAATCTAACACAGATCAGGCAGGGGCATCTGTGTGGTGGGTTGGGGCACAGAGCAAATAGCAGAGGGGATGAAACTAGCAGAGGAGACAGAGACGAGCATTGATAAAAAGCAAGAAGACATACTTCATACAGATGGCTCCTGCTGAAGAAGACAGGGTTGGGAGCCTCTTAGCACATACCAAGGAGGAAAGGAGGAGACTCTGAGGAGAGAAAGAGATAGACTTGTGAGTCATAAGCAGGCTAAATTAAATCTGGTCTTTGTGATGCACTTAAGTTCCCCAGCACAACAGGTCATGCATGCGTGTGTATAGTCACATAACAATTCACCTTGGTGAATATCACAGTGTTAGAGGACAGAGAAGATACTTTTCTTATTTCAGATGAGAATATGGGCCTGAGCTGAAGACCCAGCTGATGAGGGAGTTTGGTAGTAAGAAGAGAAGTGATACTCAGGTCAAGACAGCTCCGGTGTTTTCATAACCTTTTAGAAGTTGAGAATCTGTAATTTAAAATCTAAAATGCTCCAATATTTGAAAACAGCTGAGCACCATGCAAAAAAGTGAAATCCATTCAATTTTTTTCCAAAAATGGAATATCTCCAAAATCTGAAACACTTTGGGGATAGAAGATAATCCAACCATGTTACCCAACAGTACTATAGGCAGGAAAAAAAAAAAAAAAAACAAAGCAGGATTGGACACACAGGTGAGGACCAGATGTCTGGTCTGTATGCTTTAACACCAGTGTAACCGTATCTCTGAAGGACAGTCCTTCAGTGATGAGTAGCTAGGATCCTCCAACTGGAGAAAAGACCATGAGATTGTGGTAGAATTTTTCTTCAGGACTTAGGTAAGAAAGAATAATATCTTCAAAGAGGAATACCAGAGAGAGTTAACAGTTCATGCTGAGTCCAGCAAAATCTCTTGCAGAATTTATTACTATCAAAAGTTTTTTATTGCATTAAGGAAAAAATCAATTTTATTTGCAGTGCTCCTAAATTTTTAATCAAGATAGAAACAACAGTTTAAAAAAATTAGCTTTTTGATAAGCCCTTAAAAATACAGGAAATGAGCCATCCTGGGGAAGGGGGGGATAGAGGCCACACTGCACATAAAGGAAACTATGATTTTCCCAGCTACATCTCCTCTCCTACTTGACATTCAGTGAGTCCCATGCCTGCTGTACAGGCTTCCTGAGGGTAGGTCAAGGCAGGGCATAGCTAAATGCCTTCAGTGGTACCTGCCTTATGATGTTCCAGCCAAAGGAACTGAAGACACACCCCCCTCACTGAAGACACACCCCCCTCACTGAAGACACACCCCCCTCACGTTGCTACCACTTCTGTCCAGCGAGGTGGCTGCCACAGGCCACTCATGCACAACTCACTTTTGATCATGTTCACATCATTGGCTCCGTCTCCAATGGCCAGTGTGATGGCCTTCTTGTACCTCTTCACCAGATCTACCACCATGGCCTTCTGCTTGGGGGTGACACGGCAGCAGATGACAGCATTGCACTCACAGGCCAGGTCCACAAAGTTCTTCTGCCGCTGCTCTTTCTTCTCTTCCAGCCTTCTCCTACTCTGGGTCCGCATCCGGCGCTCTTCCTCTGTCCTTGGGAACTTCAACTTTAGGATCTTACTTCTCTTGGACTTTTTCTCTAGAAGGATCTCATTCTGTGATATCAGAGGGAGAAAACATCACCCATCACTTTAGTGTTGACACCAAGAGTACCACTCCCAAGACTTGAGTCATGGGAAGCAAAGTTCATGCGCTTTAACACAGATTATTTAGCTCTGATTAAAAAAAAAGACTTACAATAAGCATACAGAAAATACACATATCTTTAAGGGAAAAGTGGAAATTCCCCACTTGTGGAAATACCTGGAGAACCAGTTCCACCATTTAGCTCCAATCCCTTTTAGCTATCCTCTAACATTAAGACTCAAACTTAGAAAACTAACACTTGTTTTTATGGGCTAGGAGACTTTTAGACCGACAGGCAATTAATATGCAAAGCTATCAAGAACGGCCCCAAGGGACTTGTTTGAATGACAGGTGGGACTTGTTTGAATGACAGGTGAAGACTCATTACTGATACACACCAACCAAGAGCCAGTGATGATTAAGGCGCGGTTTTCTCCAGGTGGAAAAAAAGGTTCATACACAGGGGGGACAAACTTGGAAGTGACTCCACCTCGGTTTCTCTGATTCTCCATCCTTGTGTGAAGAAGGGAGCTATGGGAGAATAAATTGAAGCATTTAAAACACATGACTATAAAAGGCTTTAGATTGTAACTTATTTTATGTTACTTTTTTGAGACAGGGTCTCACTATGTATCCCTGATAGGACCGGAACTCGCTCTGTAGACCAATCCCCCTGCGTCTGCCTCCCAAATGCTGGGATTAAAGGCATGCATTACCATGCCTGGCTCTAGGATTTAATTTTGACCTCACTTTAAAAAATCATGTTACAAAGTACCCAGCATGACATTTTATCACATGTTCAGTGTGCAGTTCGGTAGTGTTGAATCTATTCACATGTCGTGGAGCCAGGCTGTCTGTAAAGCTCACTTGTTTAGTGACTGGCTCATGTCACTGATATCAAGTTCATCAGTGCTATACAATATGTCATATTCTTTCCTTTTTTAAGGTGAGTGATATTCCATTGTATGGATATGTTGATTTTTGTTTATCCAACTCCTGTCTAAATGGACATGTGGGTTGCTTCTGCCTCTTGGTTATTATGAACAGTACTATATACATGTGTTTGGGCATTATATATATATATATATTTTTTTTCAAGACAGGGTTTCTCTGTGGCTTTGGAGGCTGTCCTAGAAAAAGACCACACTGGGCTGGAACCTCACAGAGATACACCTGCCTCCGCCTCCAGAGTGCTGGGATTAAAGGCATGAGCCACTACCATCCAGCTGAT